ATAAAAATCTTTCTGATGGAAAATATGAATTAATGATACGCGACAGATTTTTTACACATTTCAATTATTCAATATGGAGATTCGAAATAAATAATTTCTTGAAATGAAAATGGATCTTAAAAGGATTAATTATATTGTAGAAAATCAAAGATCAGAGAGAGTTTCCAAGACGTGAAAGAAATTATGGATTATCATATTTCACTCGTTCGATTAAATTGTATCAGTTATATGTATCTCGAGAACCATATTTCAAGGTCGTTTTATGTCTTTCCACTTCAATCGGATGGAATTCAATTCACAAAAGACATCTGTTTCATTAATTTCCTTTATATTGTTCTAAAATAACATCTCCATGAAATTTAAAATTGATGTTTTTAAACAAACGAACGAGTAGAAATGTGATATTTCTTTTAAATTTAAACTATAATTTCAAATATGATTCCAGTTTCATCTCGAAACACGTATTACATTCGTTGATTTTTTTTTTTTTCCTTCAAAGATCGAATTACGCTCGAGCTCTGATATTTCTGAGATGATAAGTAAACTCTCGTTTATGTGAATTTCTGTATCACGTCGATTAAATCCTTTCTACTAACGAATATTCTCTAGATAAGTAGAATAAAAATAAAAAGATGTATTTTCAAGAAAACCAAATAAATTAGAGATGATTATGATTATGATGCATATTGTTTAATTCTTTTTTAACAAAATGAACATGAACACGAACAAAATGTTAAAAAAAGCTACGATAAAAATAACCTAAGCTTAGTTTCCAAGTAATGTATGCACATATGGGATATATAGAAGATGATTAAATCATTTCATTATATTTATACAGATAAGGAAAAAGAATCAAAAATTGAAAATTGCAAACACATGGAATTTCACATGTTAATCTGAAAGATCAGAACAATACGATTATATCTGATACGACTAAATCCTTGATTAATTATCTCAATTGCATATAGATTGAATGACGATTTAAGACATCAAAGGAACATTTGAACTCTGTACTTCACTATAAACGAATCTACGAGCGAATAATGAAATGTAAAGCTTTTCAATAAAGGTGAATTAGATGGGAATCGATCGATAGAAACTCTTAACTGTTTAAGTATTACGATCTCGAGAAAATTTGAACAAAAATCATGATCGAAACGTGTCAAAAGGCATCGATGAAATTTCAAGTTTTTGCTTGACAAAGAATAAAAATGAAATCTATTGCTCAATTGATTTCCTCTTAATTTTGCATATGTGTTTTGCTTAACTTTTTAAAATTAATGAATTTGAAATGAATTGATATCCTGTCTTTGGCAAATTCGAAATTTTGAAAAACATTCCTCTGAAAAGGGCTGAAAATTCAATTGAATACAAAAATATTATTTGACGTATCGAACAGTTTGATGAATTTGCATTGAAAATGAAATATCATTAATAAATGATTGGAAAAATAAAAGAAAAATTCTGCTTAAATTTACGATAGAAAATCCAATGTTCTTTTTTGTTATCACAGATTTCCACAGTACAATACCTGGTGTACCGCAGCTCGATGCAAAATAGCTCTATGGAGCAGCTTTTTAGCGCCATTTATTGCCTGTGCTCCTAGTTATCTCGTATTTGGAGTAAGTAATTTATTTAAAAATTTATTTGAAATAATTCATTAACAATGAATAACCATTTATTTCAAAAGATTAATCCAATTGAAGATAATTAGATTTTCTTTCTAGATACTGAAATCAAAATTCATTTTTTTTTCTATTTCTAATTCTCTAGATAAGAAAACAAACTGTAAATGAAAATGGCATCCTGGAAATCGCGTACATAGTCGATGCCGACTACTCCCAGCACAAGGACTTCTTCTACCAATTAAATTTCTGGATACTAGGGGTGGTCGTAAAACTTTTACCCTGCGTCATTCTCACCGTTATTAGCTGTTGGTTGATAAAAGCTCTTTACAGGTATATTTTTACAGATCAGACTGAAACTAACAATTACACGTTATTATTTATAACAAGTTCAAATTCGTTGATACTTATACTTCTTCTACCCTCTTTAATTCCTCCCACGTGGAAAAAACTGCGTTGTTATCGTGTAAAAGTCATTTAAAAAAAAATAGCTCAATTCGACGTTCCATCGATTAATTACACAAAACAGCATCTTTGTCTTCGAGAAATATCTAAAAAAAAAAAAAAAGATAATATTAGTAAAGATTAAAAAAAGAAATTAATTAACGAGTGGA